AACTTAAAAATTTTTAAACAATTAAAATAATAAAATTAATTAAGAAATTAAAAAAATTAAATTAACTCTAGAAAACTAGTCCAACTTATAATACAGGTCATGGCTGGAATAATTTTATGAAAAAAATTAAAAATTAAAAATAATGAAAAAATATAACTAATAGTGCTTTGATATTATAAAATATAATATTTTTATAAAAGGATTGATTAAGTGATATTTTATTTATTATTCTTCTTGAATGTTGCAAAATAAACATTGAAAAACTAAAGAAAAATATTTTTATTTTTAAAGTTTCATTTAGCATCATTAATAGCTTGAATGGGGCTGTTATAAAAAAAATAAAATGTTTTTTAATTAAAAAATACTAAAAGCACAAAACAATTATTTAAAATTAAAGAAAATAAAATTTTAAAAAACACGGAAGATTCTGTAAACACTGCCCGCAAAAAGGCTCCCAATGCAAATAGCAAGTGTGAAGACCCATGTGAAGAACACCAAAATCGAATCTCATGTGCAAAATCCATAGATTCGGATGTGTTGCTGGTGTGGGGAGGAAAGAACGAAAAGAGAAAAGAAAGAAAAGCAAGCAAAAAAAGAGAAAGAAAATCAATGTGAATGTTTTTTTTAGATTAACATGGATGTTCGGGCTAGTTTGTACGTACCATGATTAATCTCACGGGCCCTGAAATTAATGACCATGTAAGCCTCTAGTAACCATCGTATAAGTAATTAAGAACTCGAATCTGAGACTACAGACAAAATAAATCCCTTTATTTCAAGTTTAAATGAACATGAATGTTGACAAGAGAGGAGGAGGAGAGAGGAAAAAATGTGTGTCTGTCATCGACCCACGTCTCCGAGTTTGAAAGTTGAGATTCACGGGTTTTTGAATGATGGGATAAAGAGCTGTGTATGGCCTGATTTGGATGCAAATAAGAGATGTCACCGATGCAACAAACAAAAGGAGATTCAGCAATGAAGCAGAAGACCATGGAAGACAAGACCTTCGGGCTCAAAAACAGAAACATGAGCTAAAAAGCACAAAAATATGTAAAACCCCTCGAGCCAAAAAAATAAAACCCCAACCTGACCTGCTAAGGTAATTTATAATTGATAATTCTAATCCTTTTTTATTTCCATTTCCATTACTATATTTCATCGTTTCTTCTCTTCGATTAACCAATGCCGTGAAAAACTCTGTAATTTTGACATTTAATTAGAGTGTGTGTGCAGTGAAGTGGAGAGTTAAGAGGATGATTTTGGTGGTTGAAGATGTGTTTTTAATAAGCCCAGTTGCTAATTTTATTTCATGGATTTGATTTTTGTCGTTTAAAGTCTTACATTTTTTAGGAGAATTAAAGTTGGGAGTGCCCAATCCCATGGTTGCCGGTTTAAACTTTATTTTCATTTATCAAAATATATATATTTTTAATTTTTTATATCATTACGTCAAAAGGATTGAAAAATACTAAAAAAAATAATTTTAAAAAAATTAAATTTTAATAAAAAATAAGTTGAACCACAGTCTTAAACAGCTACAATATGTGTTGATAAAGTCGTGGTTCAATCATAGAAAGCTCGAGGACTTTGGAATGTGTGGGGATTGAAACAGGGCTTTATTTGAATAAATAAAAACGAAAAAAAGAGAAAGAAAGAGGAAAAGATGGAGCTAAATGAATTGTTTAAAGCTGATATTAGCCCACCCAAAGTTCTTGTTGGTAATTACTCATTTTTCATCTTTTAATTTAATTTTATGTTATTTGAACTTTAGCTTTTGTTATATTTTGGTGGGAGATATACTAATAGCTTCACTAATCAAGCGTTGATCAATAGTAGATGGTCAGTGAGGTTTTTAAAGTGGAGTAATGAACAAAATGTTTTAAATGCAGGTTCTCTCATGGTTTGAACGTTCAATGAGAAAGGGAGAAAAGATTGATATACAGAGTGATAAATGTGAACATGATTGTTCGATTACCAATGTGTTTCAATTTTTTTGTATTGGTAATAAAGATGTTGATAATAAACCTGTTGCTCAACAGGACTGGAGAAATGGCGTTGTTAAAAGCTGCTTGAGAGCTGTGGTTAGGGTTGCGAAAAGCCCGAGTTTTGGTTTTTATTTGTTGCGCAGTTGACTAATAATGTGAAGCCGCCGTGGGAACCTTCTAATTTCAGACAAAACTGGATTGGTTTGTCCAGATCTTTCAGGTAGCTTATTGAGGTTTTGGTCATTGTGTTTCTTTCGTTTTGCTTTTTTTTATTGGTATTTGATTTGGGATAGCACAAATTCATCTCCTCTCTCGTTTTTTTTCTAATTCATTCCATATCTGTGTGTACAGAGTTCTGAAGTTATTGAAAATGCTGAAAAGCCTAGGACAACCCCTTCAGCTGTTGCCTTTACCCAAGAGGGAGAGTTGCTTGTGGGCACTCCACCAAAACGTCAGGCTGCGACTAATCCAAGCAATACAGTTTTTTGAACTAAGCGTTTGATCGATAGGAGGTTCGATGATCCTCAAGCACAAAAGGAGATGAAAATCGTTCCAGGTCTCCGAATGGGTTGAAGCCAATGGGAACAATGTTCGCCTAGCCAAATTGGGGCCTTTATTCTGACCACGATGAAAGAAACTGCAAGAGCATATCTCGGAAAAGGAATTTCAAAAGCTGTGATCACTTTGCCGGCCTGTTTCACTGTCCTCCATAGTCTAGAAAGCTGATTTATTGGTTCTTTTTAATACCCTTGTTTTGTGTGATGAATGATAAATACTAATTCCAGTTCCTTAACTCGTGAGTGTATATTATCATTTCATTATTTTTCCTTACAACCATCTTATTTAAAAGCTTAAGCTGTTAAGTGAAATTTTATAATATAATTTATATTATTTTCTAATACACCCCCTCAAATAAAAGTCTTTTGAATTTGAAACTTGCACAGGTTCACATTATCTTGTATTTAATTTTTATCAGATAAATAGAGATGATGAGATTCGAACTCGTGACTGTTTGGTTATCAAAACTCTAATACCATATTACAGGACCATCTCACTTAAAAGCTTAAGCTGTTAGATGAAGTTCTAGAATATGATTTATATTATTTTCTAACAGAAAACTGTTAAGTTGTTATTTAAAAAATAATAATTCTAATAAAAAATGTAAAAAAAATACAAGAGAAAGAGGTTTTTATTAAAAAGATATTTTTTATTGTTAATTTTTTTTTTATACCTTTTACTTTTTACCCAATAAACAATATAACTAAAACAAATATTCACAGAATATATTAGAATATATTAATAAGAGAAGAAAAAAATTATGCTAGAAAATGATTTTTTGAAATAATTAAATAAATAAAATTTAAGAGCTTGTGACAATCAAATATTTTCATGTTAACCTTTCACTTCTTGTTTTAGTTTTTAGTTAGTGTTCGTAATTTTTTAATTTTTTACAGGATAAAATATTTATTTATTTATTTATTTTATAAAATACATGCGTAAACTTTCGAATATTAAATTGGATTTTTCATGATAACAAAAGGGTGTTCACAGCTTCTTCGTAATTTTTTTTCACATTAAAAATTAACTTTGTATGGACGCAGCAGAGCACGGGTATTCTACTAGTTCTTATAGATAAGCTATGTAATTCTTAATTAGCAGTAGCTTAAACTTTCTAAATTACCCCTTCTCAAGCAGCAAGTCTGAGCATGCTCCGAAACTTTTAAAAAAAATTAAATTTTTTATTTTAAATAAATTTTATTATATAATTTTAGATTATTTTGATTTTAATGTGTTACTATTAAAGTAATTTTTAAAAAATCAAAAAAATATTTTAAATCATTATCACCATCGCTGCATGTTATGCCAAATAACGTTGATAGCTTGAAAAACGAGACACAAGCAGCCCCCCCCTGCAGCTGAGGCATTAACCCAGAAGGCGGAGTCACCTAAATACGAGAATCATCGATCCGGACTTGCTTCTCCAAGCTTCGCCAGAAAATCCACACATTGATTACCCTAGGCGCTTTCTAGCTCCCTTAAAGCATGATGCCTTGTTTCCCAGAGTCCGACTCCCGTGCATTCTTAACACCAAACCGAAGTCAAAACAATTCACCAAACCAAAAATGACTTGGATCATCACATCTTTGTTGCGAGCACACCAAACCAGCCAACAGGTACAACAAATGCTCCTACAATCTCTAGCTCCACATAATAGGAGGGTTGAAAAACCTTCATCAGCAGCCATGAATCCCAGGTACCATTAAAGAAATCAGGAAGAGGATGGACTGGAGATTCAAATCCTTTTCCACCAAGAGCACACAAAGCTGAAGGCGTGAGCTCCCTATGATAACGAAGCTCGTTGGTTGGAAAGAATCTTCGAGTTAGAGCCCGTGGAATGTGGGCAAGGCAGCTTCATGACCAACTAGTGACCAGACTTCGCGGAGTAGGAACCTGAGGAAATTCCTCCCAGTTTTCTACTATTCTATTTGGTGCAGAGGATTAGCTAAAGGAACAGCAGATATAAAATCCTGATCACCAGGAAGTGAATTATGAAGTCGGAACGTGTCCCACGTTCTAGAGCTTTAAGTAGTGTGTCAGCAACCATAAAAAATGATCGATCATCCAGAAAATTGATATTTGGCACCATAAGCTTCGAGACAGCATCCCCGACCCAGTGATCATGCCAAGTAGTGTGGAGTGGAGATACAGTGCCCATCACCAACACGGCAGGTATAACCATCTCGAAGGAAACTGAAAGCATTTAGAATGGCAATGCAAGTAGGGAGATCCCACTCCCTGGATGGCAATCGACCAGTGATTGGCTGACCCTTAAGGTAATGGGAATGCATGACCTGCACCCATGATTTTGCTTCCATTTGAACATAAGCCAGCATATCTAGTTGAAGTGTTTCAAGAAACCAAAATAAAATTCGACTTCACCATACATAACTTTATTCAGGGAAAAAATTGAACAGGAAGGATGACACATTAATTCCATAAAGAAGAAACAAACTGTGATCTAAATATATTGCAAGAACTTTCCATTAATTTGAACGTCCAAATTTCACGTGTATAAGGAGTCCAACAACATAGTTAGTGCTGTAAAATTACAAGGAGGAGAAAAAATTGACAAGAAGAAAGAGATGGAGAGCCCAGTTCTAGTGAAAATTAGAAAGCTCATAGCCATTTCCAATGCATATCTCACTGTACAAAGTGAAGACTGATATAAGTAGCATGCCTGAAAGAAAAATACGACACAACAATAAGAAAAAATTGACAACAATAAAGAGATAGAGAGCAAAGTTTAAATGAAAATTAGAAAGCTCATAGGCGTTGCTGATGCATATCTTACTGTACAAAGTGAAGACTGTTATGAGTAGCATGTCTAATAGAAAAATAAGATTCAAACAAGTAAATGGAATTCAGAGCTTCAAAGTAAGATCAGGTGCTGATGAATCTGTCCTTGATGGTGGTGCCCTTGCTTCAAAATTCATATTTGGACATTGAGCAAGCTCTAATCCCGAGTTGCCACCAACATCCTCACCAACCTGCCTAAAACTCCCAGGCCAATATGAACCCACATCATCTTCTTCCATGAACATCGCCATTCCATAATAGCCTTGCCCAAACCTAGCTCCACCTCTTGTATTAGCAGGCGTTTGAGATTGTATGAGATTTTGGTGCATCGCAGCATGGGCTTTGATCCCAAGAGACCGAAATGCAGAACCATGAAGTGGAAGAGAAGCCAGGCTAGTATATCTATCTGAAAGTATTCCCATACGCATTGCTCGCTTTGCCATTGTTCGCTCTCTCTTATGTGCATTTTGGTGACCACCAAGTGCCTGTGAGCTGTAGAACTTTCTGCGGCAGTAATTGCAAGAGAAAACTCTTGGGATAGTTGTGTTTGGAGCATGGGTAGCTACTTCACTGCTAGTCTCACCTGTTCCCTTCAACTCAATTTCACTGGAGTTGAAATGGAGTGATAAATCAAGGGAAACAGGCACTGGATTCTCTTGAAGCTTAATGAGATCTGTGAGAGAGGAAGAAGGGGTGGTGCTTTCCTTTGATGGATCGGGGGACGGCGCATGCATAGATAAGTTGGATGCTACTTGGCTACTAACTTCTGAATCATTTTCGAAATCCAATTTGGATTTTGCAGGTATCATGACTGGGTGATATAGTGAAGTACTTGGGCCAATATGTACCACCACAGAAAAACTGCTGATAACTGGATAGTGCTTCACCTGCAGTTACAATGATTCAATTAATAGCCTCGAAGTGACAATTTAAAGAGTAAACATTGGAACGGATATATATATGGTTCGTTCTATCCCGATACCATATCTACTAAAGCAATTAAGGAATAGTGCCTGTTTGCTAGCTTGAAAGCACAACAAAATTGTCTAAAAGCACATCACAGCACAACAACTCTAATCCTGTCCAAAATTCCCTGCACATCTTAAACACACCCCAGACTCCAGAACAATTCAAAACCATTAACAATCATTACATCATTCATAATGTGGACCTGTTAAGGTGATCCAAACAATTCAACCAACCAAAATCTTTTTTCTCTTTTCCATTCTTAATGAATATCATAATACCACAGGAAAGGCTAACTTTTTATTTTTATTCTTTTTATTTATTTATTCAGGACAAAAGGCTGATCTCATCATCTCAAAAGCTCTCATTCCAGGAGAGGAACATAACTTTGGAACCATTCAAGCCAACATCTCATGACTTCAAAAATTTAGGCCAAATTTCTCCAGCTGGGGAGAGTAGATGAAATCTCAATCAGGAGGTAAATAATATAGTTTGAAGTGTTCAAATGTGTTTCAACTGACTCATGCCAAACCATCTAAGGAATTCCTTTTTTTTTTCCCTGTCATGTCCAGGGTTGATATTTAGCCTATATATATCCTTTCCTGTAAACCCGTCCTTTTTATTACTTCAGCCAAACTGACTTTCAGATCAATGACTTCATTCCACGGTTTGTTCTCCTTGAATGCAGGTCACCTCAAGCTCTACAATACACGTGATTGAATCATCCTATAAGAGCTTCCCTCAACTTTTCTAAATGAGGGCATCAATTTTCTAAGAAAATTTCCTCGACTAGTTAGCAGCATCTGATGGAAAAAAGGGATCATAGGCCTTGTTGCTGTTTCCATGAAGACAACCTCATTTCTAGAAAGTCCATCGGCCACTTGTGAACTTGCTTGATTGATTTCACTCCCATTAAGCTTGACCCACACAAAGCACCTCAACTTTAGCTTTGATTTCACATCAGTTATTTTGAGGATCTTTTTCATCACACAGTTCCAACGAATCATTAACCAAATCACTGTATTGACTAGTAGACGCTCCCTGTTCCCCGTAAACACTTGAACTGGTTAGTTATTCCTAATTCCTAGTGTCTGTGATCTGTATATCGCTGTTATAAGAGTTCACATGCATGTATTTATGTGTCTGTGCTAGACTACTTTGTAATGTTTTTGCAATACAAAAGCATTGTGTTGGAGCTTTAAGATTATTATTTTTTCACTCAAACGGGAGCAATTAAGGTAAAAAAACCATTTCCCCAATTGACTTTTCCATGTAGCATCACACCTTTCAAATGATGGAAAGTAAAAACCATGCACCTCTGAACTGCAGAGCATCTCACAACTATTCAGACTTGACCTCACATGGTAAAGTCACAGATCTCCAAAACTCCCACAAAATTCATGAATTTTCATTATCTATCATGCATATATAATTCTTCGCAACAACAGAGGCATCATTCAATTAATGTTTTGCCAGAACCAGACTATGTCATTTTTTACAGATCATCTGTAGTTCCTCAAACTTTTATCTCAAGAAAATTACTTCAATTGACATGTCAAATGGCTCTTAACTTGATCCACAACTTGTGAATAGATAAAAGTGGCCAGCTTCCATTATATCAATCCCTACCATACCTAAAACAAATAGAACTGCAACACCACCCTATCTCAAAACATGTAATGACTAGGTTACATTTAAGGGCATTCCAATTAAGTTAAGAACCAAGTAATCCTACATTTAGGAAAAGCATTTTAAGAAATTAAGAATGCGCCTACAACCCCTTCTCCTTTGGAAGAGGTCGAAAATAATGGTTAAAGTGAAGGATAAACATCTCTTAGTTGTATGGTCTGATGCAGTTTCAATCTGAACGAAAGCTCTACGCTCATGCAAGAAGCAGGAATTGCCTCAGTTATTGGGAAAAAAATTGCATTACAGATTACCATTCCAATTCTGTGCAAAATCAATTATAAAACAAGGGAGAGGAAAAGGCAAAAATGCAAAAAGCCCTCATTATCAACAGCTCTAATAAAAAAAAAAAAAACAGAAAATTGAACTCAGCTGCAGGCCATCAATAATACCCAAAATCATTAACAAAACAATACATTAGAAGAACATAAACAAACACTAAATGATTGGGTGAATCAGCATATGTAGAGCATACCCAATAAACAAAGATGATATTAGAGTAACACAAAAGAAACGATGAAAGATTAGAAATAATCAAAAACCGAAAGAAGGAAGTACAAAGACGAAATAATATGCAGCGATAATTAGGGAGGCGGTTGAAGTTCCTTACATGGTATCTTGAAATTCTCGAGTGAGCTTCAAGGACATAGTACAACTGTTTTGCGAAAAGAGAGAGAGAGTCCGTGTGAGTAATCAAAGTGGTTTTTTTTTAGATTTTGCCACTTATGGAGTGGGATGAAAGTAGATAAAAAGAGAATAAAGAAAGAGAGAGAGAGAGCTGCAAGCACTGTGGGAAAGCAGAAGTCGAAGAAATGGAGAGGATGGTGCAAAGACAGATAAGTCAGAGACAGAAGAAATTAAAATAAAAGCAGATAATGCAATGAGCACTCTGATGTTGAATTTTGGGCTCTTTCCAAGTCTTTCAATCAACAACAGCTACACAGTACATTGATATCAATGAATGCATGAATAAAGAGAGAGAAGATGTGTGTGGGAGAGAAAAGCATGCAAAACGACAGAGAAAGCGAAGACAGCCCCCACAAAAAGACACTCGAATCAGTGTTTGTGATTTCATTTCATTCCTAAAATTTCGTTCTCATCCCACTTTTTTTCTTAAAAAAAAAAACAGAAAAGATAAATAGTACTCCAGTAGACTAAGCCTCCACTTGCATATCAGATTCTTTGCGTTGTCTTTTTACCCCCTTCCTTCTTTTCCCTTTTCTTGTAAAGATGCATTCCCATGCCATCTCCGTCTCTCACACTTGGTTTTTGCAGCTCACTTGCACATGAACCTTCGAGGCTGGTTAGATATATGATTATTCTTCTTTTTTAAAAGTTTTTTTTTTTTTAAATAATAATATCTTTAAAAATTTTAAAAATTATTTTTGATCCAGTGTATCCAAATAATTTAAAAATATTAAAAAAATATTAATTTAAAATAAAATATTTAATTTTTTAAAAATATTTTTAAAATATAAATACAATCAATAACTTCGTATGTCCCACACCCGTTTTTATACTCTTTACAAACAGTTCTGCGAGATAATGTGGTCTATTGATGTCACTCGCAAACGAGACAAGGCCACAGACCAGACGATAGCCTCAGATGTGGACCCTTTTTTTTTTTTTACTAACGTCTACTGTCATTTTTTCTTCTTATTTGTAATTAAGATATTAGCGGCGATCCCGACTATTTTTGTTGGATAAGTCGTGAATACTACGACTAAGCATCTCTGAACTTCCGTAATGTTTGGAAGTCTATATTAATTTTTAAAAAATAATAACTATTATATTTATTTATTTTATTAGAGAATCAAGTCATCGGTTTGACAGTGATTATCCATGGATAAGAGATTTCAAGTCCCTCAATCGCACCTTATTTTCTGATTAAAGAATTTTATAATACTAAATTAAATTCACATCAATTATCATCCCACGAAACATGATAATAGTTTCAAGTTGTGAATTGTTGGATGTATTTTAGCATTTTATTATATGCTGTCGTAAGAATTTGGAAAAACCTTCTTACAACCAAACTATTGTTTTGTGATTATGGTAATAACGAATAATGAGTGTGCGAGCTCATAAACTATTTTGATTTTTGACAAGAAAATATACTATCCAAGTGGTATTAAGCTAAAAATAATTGCAAATTAATTCATACATGGTCAATTTATTAGATTGTTATGCAATGTAGAAACATGGTCATAGAATATTAAGCTAGAAATAATTGAAAATAAGAACTTGAATTTGCCTATCAAACAAACTTATATTCTTGAACGAATCACTGTATTCTTATTTGAATTTATTAGATTGTTATGCAATGTAGGAACATGGTGAATCCGTAAGTTGATTATTGGCTGAAAAAAAGCGATGGTCATAATTTCTAAATAAAAGGAATTAAAAAATATATATAAGATTTTCAAATTCTTTTCTAATTTACTGAGAAGATAAAAGATAATATTCTTGATTTCATTAAAGCTGAAACCCTAATAATGTAAAGTGAATTTTTATTTTACAAGAATTCTCCTTCTTTGTGCTCGCTATGATAGATTCATCATGATCACCTTCCCCATCCGTGTCCTTTCGAAACAAAGGAATGAAACCACGCACGAAATGAGGATAGCTATGTTAGCACGATCATCACTTCCGACTTTGTTTCGTTTTTTAGAGTTATTCCCCGACACAATTCTTCAATTAGGATGTCCCGATTGTTTCTTTCTTTCCCTGACCTTTTCTGGCCATCTAGAAATTCTACCTCAGCTGCCCCTCGCCACCACCGCAAAGCCATAAAACCACATTCTTCGAATCAACCATAAAAAGCCACAGACTACTATTAATCCCCGCCACCGGAACCACCACTGGGAGCTGTCTCCACAACAGTTGTCACCCTCTCCTGCATGTGGCCGTTCCTCTCCTGGCCGAAGCCACTCCTCATCATTGACCTCCCTTGCAGCATCATCATGGACCTAGGTGGCTTGCTGTGTCGTTGATTTGGGAATTGATGGCGTGGGTGATTGTCAAGGTGGTGAAGGCTGGGTTCGAGTGAGGGACGATCTAGGTGGTCGCAGTTGATAATGAAAAGAACGATGACTCATTTATCTCATAAGACAAACAATTTTCACAAACTGGCAATGGTAAATATGCGATCTGCTAGGAACATCTTCCGTTGCAATGGATTTTTCACTGCTAACCCTAGTTAATAGATTCTCCATTAAGCATTATTTAAATATATTGGTTATCATGCCTGCTGCATGCTATCGACATGATTCCATTTAAGTTTTAATGAAAAACGAAAAAATAAAGATGCTGATCATGAATTATTATTATTTTTAATGAAAAAAGAGCTGAGCATTTTTTATCACGAAACTTGTTAATAAAAAATAAAAAGATAATGCCTTGTTTACTAAAATTAATTTAAAAATATATGACTTAATAAATTATAATAAGAATTGCAAAGGCCAATTAAAGGTTAAAATGGTATATGTTGATATTTATAATAATAATCAAAAAGTAAGTATAGATACATGTATAAATATTTTATCCTTATAATTAAGTTATAAAGAGTTGTACTTATTAATAGAGGTAATAAATTATGGAATAGAGATTCAAGCGAAGACAACGAGACCATTATCAAAAAATTTCATTTAATTTTATTATAACTAAAATAAATATTTCAAGAGTTAATTTGAAGGCTTCAAGTTTTTGAGAGAAAAATGAATTTCTTTACTCTTAATATTCATTTATTATTTATGCATTTTTCATGTTTTAACAGAACATGTCTCTCGATTAACATCATGAGTTTTCAATATAAACTTAATCTAATTAAAATTAATATTCACAAGAGTTTTAATAATTTAAATTCATGACAAAAAATATATTTCTTTAGTCAAAATCTCTTTTTTCTTATTCATTTATTTTCTTATTTTGAAGATTTTTTTATTAGAACCTTATGTTTTAAATAAAAACTTATCATGATCTTATAAAACTCTTGTGTTGATAAGTTTTAGACACTTTTTGGGAAAAAACAAAAGAATAATTATTTCATGAAAATTATATACAAAATTTATGATAACAAAAAGAAAATATTTTACTCTTCCTGAATATTCATTTGCAATATTTTTAAGAAAATTTTATATATTAGATTTATATATAATTATAAAATAATTGAAAAATGATCATATAAAGCTATAATCTCATTTAAAGAAAATGATATAATCAAGTGATTTTTTAAATGTCACTGTAATTATTTGTCTAAATATAATTTATTTTAAAATAAAAAAACAAGGGCTAACTAACTATAGCCTGTGCACGTTTAGACTTACAAGGGAAGACTGGCGCTCCTAACTTTAGAAAAATGACAACCCATTTATGACTGAACTTCATAGAATGACTTAAATATATTTAGGTTTACAAGACCACACTCGCATGCCTGATCTTTGTAGTTTTATTGGGCGAAAAGGTTAGACCTATGGTTTGGCCTAAAGGGGAAATCTAAGTTTTTTTAATTTTTAAAAAATAAATGGGCAACACGTGATTTATTGGATAAATAAGATTTCATTAACTAAAACATTGAGGTTTAAATTAAGATAGGATTTCTAAAAACTATACTTCAACTTGTTTTAATCGATAAACACCCACAAAACATCATATAAATCTTAATAACTCTATTTTCAATCTTAAAATAATTTTTAAATAGTTTAAAAATTAAAAAAAAAATTATGAATCTTGATTTTTTTTTTCAACATAGTTAAAGAGAAAAGCTACATATATTCAACATTCTTACCTAATACAAAACTATTAAACCAAGTTCAATTTTTTTTTATTATTTGCACTTGACTAACCAAAATCTTTCTCTCCTCTCTCTTTTATTAGCATCTAAGGATTGGAATATAAATAAAATGAAGCTTTAGGAAAAAATATCAAATACTTAAATATAAGAACAAAAATATAAAAATAAAATCTTCAAGGATCAAATTTAGCTTTTTAAAAAAACTTCAAAAACTAAATTGATCTTTTTCAACATCAATGCACTGAAACAAGAGAGGAAATAAAGTTTTAGGACTCAAATATAGAAATTGTGTGTATAGAAAAATTAAGAAGAGGACATTTTAGAAACTAAATTGAATCGTCGCCGGAACTTCAAGGATTAAATTAAATTTTTCTGAACATCCAGGGATTGAAGTACAAGGAAAACGAAGTTATAAGGACTATAGCGTGAGAAAAATGAAATATCAAACTCATATTAATTGTAAAAATTAAACGGGTATTATTTTACATGGTGATATATATTTTTAAGCTGTCACAGTAAAACATATAACAAATAAAATAATAAAATTTGATTTTGAGCATTAAGAAATTCTTAACAAGTACCATAAAGACATCCATTAGCCTAACTAAGAAATCAAGTTGTTGCAACTATCTAGGTGGTGGCCAAGTGGTAAGGACTTGGGATCAAGGGGTTTGCTTCCTCTGTGGTCTCAGGTTCGAGTCCTTAGTTGCTCATATGATGGCCACTGGAGGCTTACATAGTCGTTAACTTCAGGGCTCGTGGGATTAGTCGTGGTGCGCTCAAACTGGCCCGGATACCCACGTTAATCTAAAAAAAAAAGAAATCAAGTTGTTGCGTGTGAGGTTCTAACTCAGTGATGAGAGGGGTTTGTTTTCTTTCTCCATACCTGGGTTCGAGTTTTACTGCGTACGC